TAACTGGCTAGAATGGGAAGAAGCAGCAGTCCAAATAGGGATGAGGGGAAAACGCAAAAGATACATTACAAGCAGCAAAAGTGCTGAAGATGATCCATGGAGCTCAGAGGTTATGGAGCTTATGGAGGTTACAGAGGCAGGGTTGAAAGTCTGAGGAATGTTGGCAATGGTGTTTATGTGTATGAGGTCACCAATGCAATGGACTTAAGCTGAGGTGGAGTCAAAGTCCGAGGTCGGAGCTATGACAGAATTTTGGAGCGAAGGTACAAGCGGTGCCCGAGTATGGGGTACAGGACAGCGGTGGAAGGGGGTAACTTGGTGGAGGGTCGGTGGAAGAGGGTCAGAGGGGAGAGAGAGGAGAGAGGAAAGGGGAGAGGAGTGGAGGAGAGGAAAGGTGTCAGGTCCGAAGGTGAGTATTGGAGCAGATGGGAAAAGGGTAGGAGAGTGATGGAAGGGTGGAGGTGTCGTGAGGAGGAAGAGGAGGAGTGAGAGGAGGAGCAGGAGGAGGGTGGCGAGAGGAGTGGTGTTCGGTCTGAGGTGAGTATCGGAGCAGATGGAGATAGGGCAAGAGAAGGACAGAAGAGTGGAGGTGGCATGAGGGGTGAGAGGAGGTGTGGTGTCAGGTGTGGTGTCAGGACCGAAGGTGAATATCGGAACGGACAGCAGTAGGGTAGGACTCCGGAGGTGGTGAAGATGGTGGTCCAGGAGTCAGTTCAGGATCGGGTATGTACAGATATGACAGGGATGATATGAACTGTTCGGATGCTCACATGCAAGCTAGTCTCAATGAAAAATATGGGCTAGTCAAATAATATAGCTGAAAAAGTCATTGGAGGAGTCTTGGAATTATGGCATTTTATTTGGACCAAGTTTCCCTGTGCATGGATAATCGAGATATGTAAACCACTTCTGAGAATTCCCATTCTCAGTTAAATCTCCACCAAATTTCACAAAATCGGTATCGTTAGAAAGCTATGGATAAGGAGAGTCGGATGGAATAAAGGGACGGAGGTTTGACGCAGTGTCCGGAGTGGTATGAGGAAGTTTGTGTTCTCCTTTTCAATTTCTTTTGTTGTTTGGAATTTTATTTCAAGTCAATGGCAGCCGAACCTTACTGCCATTGTTGGTGGAGGCTTAGCTCATCCAAACCCATATCTTTTCACAAATTGTATGATTGCTGTATGGATATATGTATGTAGCGATTGAAATGGAATAGGCGATTTTCCCCCCTCCCACTACTTTTGAAGTCCATGTACTTGGGTGCTGTGAGTGGCCACACAATTGGTAAAGGGCTATCGTGACCTTTAGGGACATCCACCACAGAAAGAAGATAAGCAAGAGTTACCAGAGTTATATATTTCCCCAAAATCCCCCCTCCCGTTGATTATACAGACCTGTTCTTACTGCAAGACCCTTTCAGCCCCCTTTCTCTTTCTTCCCTAGCTTTTGGGGAGTGAGTTGGAGTGCTACCTTCCATTTCCTGGAGACAGTAGCAGATTCCCACTTGCAATGTGGCAGAGGCTTTGATGAAGGTTCTCATCAGTATGTTGAGAACTTTGAGGAACATGCCCTCGTCTCCTCTGAGGAGAGTTTCATCTCGGAGTCTCATTCTGAGGTCGAATGCAGGTCCCCCTAATCCATGGATCAAGCAGTCCAGATGGACTTCATCAAATTGGGGACCTTTGCATCCTCGCAAGGTGAGGAATCCCAGTAGTTCTGTGAACCACTGCCAGAATGACTCCATGTCATTCTCCCCTGACCATTTATGGCCTTTTTGTACCATTTTTCCAGGTACTCCTCTTGCTCCCCTGCCTTCGTGGGGTTGCTATCCAATGGAGATTTCTCCTTTGGAGGGGTTTTCGCTGGAGGAAGTCTCTCTCGCAGCGTTTCTTTCCTTTTGGGTGATTTCGCCTAAAATTGTATCTGAATTCTCTCATTGTTTTGAGAGAGTGTGGTTATATTACCTCTTTGTTCAAGAGGCTCGTTGAAGGTGGAGGTTTGGCCAAACCTTTGGTATGTGCCGATTCTCCTCCTGATTTCTGAACAATACCTCCTTTTGGCATCATCTTCTCCTATCCTTGGGAGAAGAATCTCTTTTGCGTCTCTGTTGAGTCACTGATGGTGTTCCAGTGTGCTTTCACTGGTTGTTCTTTTCATGAATTTTTCACGAGTTCTGGTTTTATCCTGGCCTGTGGCCCAGGGATATTTTTTTTGTTTCCTCACTGTTTTGTGAGAAGTTTATATCCTTCAGCAAGTCAGTTTGCTTGCTGATTTTATCAGTCAAGGCGTCAATTGCGCATTGGCCATTCTTTCTAGAGTTATCTCTAGATGAGCCATGCTATTATGGCTCGTTTCCTTGATCTTTTTTTGGATCGAGTTTATCGCATTTATTATGCATGATTCCTGGTTTTCCAGGAGGAAATTTGGCTGGGTGAGTAGTGACTCTCCCCAGTTAACATTGCCGCTTCTGGGGGTTCCAGAAGGGGTTCTTGGAGTAAATACTCCACACCCACTTTGTTTAGGCAAGGCTGTCACGGAGGGTGCTTCCCATTCATGGAGGGGTCTGTTTGCTGGTTTTTCCTTACTTTTCTGTAAGGCTTCCTCAGCAAACTCCCTCATTTCAGTTCACCTCCTCTTCATGATGGAGACCTCCTCCGAGGTTGGCGACCTTGCCTTGTCTGGCATGGCGTGGGGTAGTGTAAACAGCGGAAGTTCTTTTTGGGCTTCCGGGCTCTGAGAGATCCTGCTCTCAGGGCATTTCTTTGCGCCTTCTTGGGCCTTTAGCCTGAGAAGAAGTTGTTCTTCATTTCCCATCCTCCATTCAGACAGGACCTGGAACAAGTCCAGTAGTTTTTTGGATAGCCGATGCAGAGGTTCTTCCCTCTGTTTCCCTTTGTCTGCCTTTGGGGCTTGACTTGGGGAAATGGGGGAGGACTCCAGAGGATAGTGGGGCCCTGGAGTTTCCTGCGACTCTATCCAATCAGCTTTTCAGGCTGATTGTTCGGCACTTATGCATTTATCGTGCAAGTCGATCACCTCCTCTGGAGGCGAGAGATCTTCCCCAGCTTGGGTGAGATCAATGTGTCATGGAGATCTAGGGGTATTGGGCCCTGCACTTACTCCACATAAGTTTTTAAAACCTTCAGGGACCAGCCCTGAGGTGGTTGTCCTTTCTGGATCGTGTTGATCCTCATCATCGTCTGATGATGGCTGTTGCTTTGAATCTCCCATGATGGGAGATTGCAGTTTCTTTATAAACCACTTGTTTTTCTTTATCATCACTGCAGATGCGACCTTGCCCTTGCAGGCATGTTTAGGTGCCATCAGTGCTACTGAGTCAAGTTGTTATTGTGATTTGATTGTCTTTGTGGGTTGTGTTGTAAAACACACCTCATACACTTAAAAAAGTGTGAGGTCTCAGTGGGGTAGCTCAGCACATGAGGCCATAAGTGATATGATGGTATGTATTTTACGGTGTGTGTGTAAGCAGTTAACAGAAGTTGCTGCTTACCCACATGACTATATGTACGTTGTGATTACATATGGCTCAGGGTTTGGGGCTATTGCCCTGACAGCTCAGCCCCACCATTCATGGGCATGCCCTCTATATACATAACTTGTAGATAGGTTACACCTTAGTGATAAAATCGACTAGAGTTTCCCCCTCTTCTAGAGTTCCTTGCCAGTCAGTAAATTAGGGCACAGATGTGTTACTAGGCACAGCACTCCTGGGATAAGTTGCTGAGGCCGAAGCCCTCCATCATGGGGACGTTGAAAGGTGTATCTTACTAGTTTGGGGATGGTAACGTTCCGTTCCCCCATTCGCCTCAGGCCTCAGATGTCCGTCTAAGTATACACTTGAATTTGCTGTATATTAACGGGGTAGAAGTAAAGGCTGATCCACCTTTTACAGCTACCCCGAGGGTTTATATACAATCTAATACATTCTTGGCACAAATAAATAGAGAAGCTTCCGCAATGCTAAATTAGCGTCGCAACATAATTATTACACAACACAACATCAACTGATGTTGTGGGCAGAATATAGACATGGGCTGGGGCCTCACAGATGTTGTGGGAGGGACAAGCCAGTAGTACCCAAACACCAAACGGTCTACAGATGCTACCTGGGACCCGACACACAATCCCCCAGCCTCCCCAAAGCCCGTTGCACTTCCCCCATCATCCCTGTATTTTTTGATATTTTTCTAGACCAGGTTATGGCCACTTAGTTCCCATATCGGGCCACTTTTACAGTATTTTCACCATAACTCCCCCGGTTCTTCTCCGATCCAGACACATTTGATATCGTTGGAAAGCTACCGTCAAGACGAGTCGAACAAGTCCAATATCGGGAGATTTGGTGCAGCTGTTGTGGAGATCATTGGAATTTATCGATTGTGTGGCCGCACCCATATATTTATCATGTTTTCTGTTGTTTTCTTTGTTCTATGTTGTTCTGTCCGTTTCTGTCCGTCCCTAACACCGTCGGATTGCTCGGACATTAGCTTTTGTTATATACAAACATGTATCTAGTATGAAAAGTGATCTTCTCCTCCTTCCCTGCTTTAGTGCCAGTCTGACAGTACCACATCTGGGAGTATGTGAATGAGTTCAGTTAGGTTTAGGGCGACGTTGAGAAGGCCAGACGCCTTGCTCAGCCCTAGGGAAGGTCCACTAGTTGGTTTAGTTGGTTTTTGACGGAAGTTTAAGTTTTCAGACCTAGTAGGAAGGTCTGCCAGTGAGTCTGTCAATGCTGTGGTTTCACTCCTCCCCCCTTCATTACCTGTGTGTGTGTGTGAGGGTGGTCTGATTTAGGTTCAGAGGTCTGTTCCCCTGCAGCCCTTCAGCCATTCTCCCCACTTGCAATGTCATCTTTTGTCCCAAATCTGGTCTCTGACATTTCACAAATTCCCACATTATATATACATTGTTTATACATGTTTATTATGAGATGCATATAGAATAAAGATAGGAATTAAGGGGTGGGGTTACCACTCCTTACACCAAAGATCCCAGCAAGAGTACCAAGAACTCCATAGATAAGCCCATACTTCTGTGAGGCCACACTCATGGCAGAATGTATACATTTGATGTACAGAGGCACAGTGGATTTCTTCCTTGGTCTGGGATGAGCCAGAAGGTGTTGGGAAGAAGGGATGTTGGCATAGGTGGTGGGTGAATAGCCTGAGAATTTGACAATGATGACCTTCCAGACAGAACATATAGTCAGGGTCCATCACATGCTTCTCTGCTACATCAAACTCATATAGGGGGCCATCATCATGCTCGCTTTCTTCACCATTCCCTTCTGACTCAATACCACTGTCTGTTTCTATCATAGCCATGCATTCCGGCCTGTTAGCCATCCATCCCGATGCTGCCCGAGCCTGTCATATCCATCCCCGGCTATCGACTTCCACTCCCTCCGATCCCTCCAGTCTACTGTCAGGGATGCGTCTGGGGTCGAGGGGGCCTGGGTATAGCGCCTGGCGCTGAAGACCTTGCGGGGGGTAGATCGGGCATGCGTGCTGGCAGGCCCGATAGGGGACAGCTGTCCCTGGCCACTCAGACTGAAGTGGAAAAGGTGAATTGTTATTGAAAAGGGAAACTACACTAACTTACCTGAAGTGGAAAAGGTGAGAAGAAGGTTACTTCTTCGGTTCCCACTTCAGGTACATTTATGTACATGCGGCTTGAGTCACATGACGGATGCCACGTCATCCTCGGAGACAGCTGCAGCCATCTGGGTGTCCCTGCGGGGGATCCCGAGGGTATCCGGTGCAGGCGCATGTGCTAGGCACAGCGGGGAGCCGTCCGGGGAGCCTGGGTCGGGCAGGTCAATGGTACATTGATGCAAAGGAAAGTGGTCCATGTAAATAGAAGGAATAAACAGGAGGGGAATGATGGGAAGAATGAAATAAAGAAAAGGGAAAAGAGAGAGAAGAAAGAAAGAAAGAAAGAGGGAGGAGGGAAGGAGGGAGGGAAAGGATGGGGAGTGGGGTAGCGGGTGAGGTGTGGCCGGGTGGACCCGGGTGGGCTCGGGTCAGGCGGGTGTGCCCTGACATCTACCTCCACTCCTTCACTAACCTCGGAGCTCCCGTATTCCGTCATCACCTCGGTACCTCTCGATGGTCACCACCCCCTCTTTTCAATTTATTACCTACGCCTCCCTAAGTACGGAGCCCCGAAGGCTTCCGGACAGCTCCGACATCTGCTAGTGCACTCCCACCTCCACTGGGCAATACACTCGCTTGCCCTGCAAGCCTACCTTCGGGCCTATCCCTCCTTTCCGTTTCTGGGTTATTGCCTACCATTCCACTAACCCCGTAACCCAACTCGTCGGTAATATTCAATCAGCTAATGTCTAACCCCATTAGCTCCACTCCACTCGGCTCCACCATTTGCGGGCCTGCTCTTGTTGTAACCATATATATACTCCACTTGTACATAGGTTACACCTCAGTAATAAAATCGACTAGAGTTTACCCCTTTCAGTTCTGGTTGCCAGTTTAGTAAGTTAGGGCACGGACGTGTTACTTGGCACAGCGCTCCTGGCACAAGTCGCTGAGGCCGAAGCCCTCCGTCATGGAGACACTCCCTTGTCTCAACCTGGTCTCTGACAGAGCCTGTCCCACTGTGCAAGCATGAGTGCAAGCCCCAACCCTCATCCCTATTCTCCTTTAGGACCCCCTGCTCACCCCCCCACTTGCCCCTAGGCTCCCCTGCACCTGGCCAACTCCCCTCCAGCCACACCAGCCTTCCCACCCTGAGTCTGCCTCCGGCACCATGCCCAGTGTGACTCCTCCTACTCTGCCTGCTTGGCCCTCATCAGGCTGCTATTGTTCCCACACCCAACTCCAGCCCAACTCCGAGTCCGGTGCCGCTACAATACCATTGCTGCTATCGCAGCCCTATGCTCTTTCCTGTTTATCTATTATTGTTTGTTTTGACCCATGGTCATTGCCAGCCACCATGCAGCCAACTCTGTTCCCTATTCATATTTGCTTCCGGACCCTTCGGCCTTCGGCCCAGGTCCGCTCCCATTCATTCTTTCTCCCTATATATATCCTGTATGATACTTTATTGTACCTTAGCTCTAATATCGATTAGACCACAACTCCCCAAGTCCTGACCCCAGCAAGGCAACCCCAGTGAGTCTGAAATGAGGGCCAAGAAACAGCTAGGGGGCACAGCACTCCTTTAGAGTCGCTGAGGCCAAACGCCCTACCCTCAGGCCTTGTTTGTGGCATCACGGCCATCATGGCCTACAGTGGCCCACAACGGCGACCCTCGGTACCAACCCTGGACCCGTGTCTAACAGTTTCCCAATCCATCCTCACTCCTGGACTCCTCAGCTTTGTCACCCTCAATAGGCATTTCAATCACCTTATTCTGACCTGAAGGATTTTCAGTTGAGTCTAAAGGTTGATGCCAGAATAGCCAAATCTCACCTGGTGATTTTTGCATGTCATCTTGATTTCCCAGTACTTTTGCCACCTTTTTTATTTTGAGCATCTTTGCCCAATAAGTGAGTTTCCAAGTCGGATTGAATAGTAACTTGGGAAATTGTTATCTGATCTGCATGCTTATGCTATAATGGTACACTTCAGCAACTTCTCCATTTGCTGGTCCACACGTCATAATACTCACAACTGCACTGGAGAGCTCATTCCTTTGTCCAATAGGCACAAACCAGTGGTCAATAAACTCAAACTGAGTCCGGGCATGGACTGTGGAATATGAGGCCCGCATTTTCAAACAGCAAGTCGCTTTCTCAGCATGCATAGTACATGCCAATAACAAAGTTGATAATCAGCATGGGGCCAAATGGAGCGAAAGGCATTAATCTCTGATAAGTCCTTGTCTGAAAGTGTGAAGTGTGGCTGAATATTGTGTTCATCCCAAAAGTACTTGAACCATTCAATCAGGACATCATGCTTGGCATGGTGTGGTGGTTTTTTTTTTTGCTTTGGACAGACCCACAGCTATCCTAGAGGTAACCCAGATCTACTCACTCGCCCATCAGGACAAAGAGCTCCCAGTCCCCACCAGCACATTTCCCTAACAGTATGTGAATCTTATCAATTCCATTGATTTGAGTGATATACTTACAACTTGAGTCTGTTAGAACCTCTCTAATGTGTGAACCCCATTTCCAAAGAATATGAGGAACAGCAAATGCAAGTGACTCATAGTTGTCTTGGCCTGTGATTGATATTGTTGAGACTTGTGGTAATCCTGAGGCAACCTTCTCCCCTTCAGCACACTGGAGAACCTTATGAGTGACAGGATTGTTGTCAAGATGCCATTTGCACTGGTCAGCTATTCGCCATATACCAAAGGCCAACTTCCTAGTGAACTGGATTGGATGGTAATTTGCAAGGATTTTCATCCATATCTGTATGGATAAGTTAATCCTTTTATGTAAAAAAATTTTAATAGTAATTTGTACTGACATCTTTGAAGGTCCAGGAGTCATCGGCCTCTATCATATCTTGCACACCTGCTGAGACTTCTACCCATTCATATGGGACATGGTTCAACACATGGACAATATGGATACTGGCATATGTATTTGCATCAATATCTTCAATACTAATGGTGAGCCACCCTTGACAAGCAAAGGTGTCCATCTGTTGAATGTCATGCTATTATTGTGCTTTTGGTGATTTTTCTAGGTAGATGTGAGTTGTGCACAGTGGAACCTGTACTGGTGCTGGTTCCCACTAATCCCTTGTCTGGTCTGATGAATGCAGTAACTGTCACTTGGTGAGTTCTGCTTAGCCTAGTGTCCAAAAGTTGGCTCATCACCACTGATATGAAGTTTTCTCAGATATAGTACCAGCCAGGTACTTTGCATATAGGATAAAATAGGGTTCACAGCTGCAAGCATCCATGGGTGTTTCTTGGATAGGGGACAAATTTTGAACACTGTAGCCTGGATTTCAGGTGGGCAGATGACTTCAGGAACATCAGGCATAGTAAGCTTGTCCAGGAACTGAGAGAGAGAGAATTTAGAAACTCGCTCTTGCTGATGCCCCCTTTTCTTGTCAGAGGTCTTATGTGTATTACAATGGCAACAGCTTTTTTGCAGTTTGGAAGGAGTATGTAATGTAGGGTTGAAGTTATCAATGGTTTTGGTTTGCTTGCATATCCCACAAGTTTGTACTTGCAGAGTGGACATGGGGGTAGGTGGAGGAAAGGAGATAAATTTTAAACAGACTTAGTACATTTTTGGATTTATTGATAATAATGTAAACAAATAACCGGGTGGGAGGTCCTCCGAAGATTGTGTCATGTTATAAGACCAGGTGTGTGCAAGTAGCTGAGACACTTTTGGATGCCCCAGCTGGTCAGAGTTTCAAATTGTTGCATTCAGCCATCGGGGCAGGTGCTCTCAAGTACTTAATATTCTCAATCATCCAGTGAGTATGTTTGGCAGAGTCCATCATTCATTTCATTTGGACAAAGCACATGAAATTTGTTGAAATGGCAGTTGGAGTCATCAAAGTGAAGGCACACTTCGAACCACAGTTGCACCTTGTCCTGGGAGGAGAGTCAGCATATTTGGCAAGTCACAGGAAAAGTCGCAGTCACCTTTGCACTTACATGCCAACATTGAAGCCAAATTCACACATGTCCCCATCAGTAATTGTAGTCACTTGCCCAACAAAGTGAGCCATAGCCAGGCAAGCGCTTGATGGCTCAAGCTCCTCAGCACAAATCCCAATGTTCTCCACCATGGTTGCATTGATCACTAGCCCACTGGGGAATTGACTCAACAAATAACTGCAGTTCAGACCACTTTGCCACGGTGATTAAACTAACTCTCAATAGTGGCCATGCCAACCCAATGTGTTAGATTGGGTGGATTCAGACGACTCTGGAATGGAATCAGAGACTTAGCATGGAAGGACCTCAGCCTCAGCAACTCATGCAGAGCGCTGTGCCATTGCTGGTTGTCCTGGGGGTCCCTAATTTTGGATCTAGCAGAAGGGGAAGTCTCTTGGGGGGAAATCAAGTTGATTTCAGACTGAGGTTACAAGTTACTATGTACATTGTATATAAGGAGGGGTCTGGAATCAAAAGGAACAAGGGTAGGATGAAAGGAGACAAAGGGAGCTGGAATGAGGAACAACACTGAGGGTCAAGGGTTTGACTCAATGGTGTTTCCCAAAGGAGGAGTGAAGGGCCAAGGCCCAAGGAGGATGGAAGGAGGATGGGAGTGGGGAATGGCTAGCTGACTGAATAGAAAGGAAGCAGCAGCCCAAATAGGAATGAGGGAGTATAGCGGGATTGAATGGGACAATGCAATAGTTGCAAGGTCCAAAGTAAGTCCGGAAAGTCCAAACTTGGAGGTTAAGCTCCAGAATATTGGCAAAGGTAATTAAATGGAATGAGCAAACCAATGCAATGGGTATAAGCAGAGGTGGGGTCAAAGTCCAAGGTTGGAGCTATGACCAGAGGTTCCATAAACGGAAACTCCTTCCCAGTCGCTCACATGATTTCTCTGAGGTTTAGCTGCAACTTACATTGCCTCCGAAATCTGTCGAGCGACTGGTACAACTTGCAACATGTGATGTTCCCACGCTAAGTTGTAATGAGTTGTACATAGGTTATGGAATATAATTTTTAGTATTTATGCTGAAGGAGAGAACGAAGGAAGGTCAGTTGGGAGGTTCAAACGAGACCACCACCAAGCTGTTCCCTGGTTCTTTAGTTAGGATGGGGAAGTGTACTAGTATTATTTGTTGTAAATATAGTACCAATCCGAGTGTTTTGGCTAATTCTATTTTTATGGGTTAGTCTAAAGTTTCTGGGAATTGACTTACAGATAAACCGAGCCCTGCAGAGCTGTTCCTTTATTGAAATTTCTTAATTTGTCTAGGTGTAATTCTGTGTAGTGTTGTTTAATTTGGAATTTAACTTGAATTAAATCTTCTACTTGGTGAAGTTTCCAAGATTCTACTCAGTTAATGGATTTGGATTGTGTCTGGAGTGTCCCTTGGGTTTGTTTTATTTTTGTCTTATTTTATTGCTTGTTTTAACAGTAGCAAAATAACTGTTTTGTGTTTACACTTTGAAATCTGGAGTGTTAACCAGCTCTCCTGTTGAAATATCTACTTAATATTTCTCTCCTTAATTGCTGCCTTTTACTACAGTGGCAATCTTAACTGTATATCACTTTTTCACACTGGAGTGACAACCAGAAATGCTTGAGAAAAATAATACTCTATTTTCTTACTTCTCTGAGGGGGGCGAAAAGTCGCAGAAAGGGTCTCCCTTTTATACCCCTTGGGTCACCTTCCTTTTTCATGCTCTACCTCCTATTTACAGGATTTATTTACAGTGTATTTTTCTCAAACTGAATAAAAAACGAAACTTTCACGCTATAGTTCTACTGCGCTTTACTGTGCTGAACTGCGGCTCTACTGCCGTCAGACTGCACCTAGAATCCTTATTGTCCTTCCTCACCTAAGCTATTTTAATGGTTAATTAAAACTTGACTGCACTGCATTTGTCACAGTTTTCCTATTTCAAATTCCTCATATTTACCATTAAATTTGCTATGACTCGGTGATTCTGAATTCAAACTTCGCATTACTATGCGTGCGGCTGCGCTGAGACCTTCAGCTGATTTATTCCATTTTTATTCAGCAACATTTAGTTAAAATGAGACTTGAAATGGTAAATGAGTGAATTGTTCAGGTTTAAAACCGAAAGAAAAAGTTGCTAGTAGTCAAGAATTACTCAAACGAATGTATTATAGCTCTCCACTTCATTAGAATATCGTTCCCTAAAATTCCCGCCATGGTCCATCGCCACTTACCTAAGCCCCAGTGACCCGGATCATCTCCGGCATTGTTCTGGAACATTCTATGATCATGTGATTCTATCGGCACTCCCTTATTGCCGGACTCTACATGTATATAGCTGACCCTAAGATGGGGACATCCCTTTCCCCCAGCTTTAATCACAACTAGGTTATTGAAGCATCCTGCGTGAGCACGCGCGTCCCCTGACAGGATTGTATGGATATGACAGCATCAGTGGAAAAGTAATAAGTCATGCACTATCTACCTCTGCTTCAAGTGCTTGGAGCATCGTGTTAGCTCACTTGCACTTGCAAATGTGCAAGAGGTCCAAACTGGGCTATCCACAGCTGTACCATGGGATGAGCTGATGAAGCAAGGTGAGTAACCCACATATAAGAATTCATATATATTTACAATAACGATAATTTGACACAAATTCTATTAGCAATTGAGCACCCCCCGGAACAGGACCAAATCATCTCTAAAGTTGAGAACCTATGGAAACATCTGGCAGTATGCCAGCTAGTGGTGCTGGAGGTTAGAGAAGAGGCTCAAGCCAAGGTATGCACCTATACCAAGAAAAGCAACCTGAATATGAACACACCTTCAAAACTCCAGAAAGATACATTACAGACACGTCGCAATCGGAATCTGCTGAATATGATCATTTCCACTGATGCATCCTTCACCTCCATTGAGAACCCACATCTGATTGAGTACTCACACTCTCTGAATTTGGATTATAAACTGCCAAGTCATGCACAGTTCTCAGGAGAGATCCTAGATTCAGCATACAATGATGTTCAGAGGGGAAACATGCAGAAACAAAGGGGGAAAATGGGGACTGGACAATGTGATGGGTGGAAGGATATCACTAAGAACCACCTACAGGGATTCATGGTCTGTGTGGATGGGGTAGTGAGTGCTGGGTGGTTGTTGATAATGGTTGATACTAAGTCACATATAGTCTTGGCTCACTAACATCCACAACATGTCTGCAGAGCAGAGAACCGGTGCCAAACTCCTAGGACTGATGGAGAGAGAGGAGTTTATCGAGAAGGAGCTAGAAATAGACCTAATTGGCTGGACCTCAGATGCGGGGCCTGACTCCAAAAAGGCCTGCAAGGACTTGGTTAAGAAATTCCCTCACCTTTTGGAAACTGACTGTATTGCACTGTAATGGGTCTATCACCACTAGACTCGAGACAGAAGAGAGGGGGAGGGTTGGAGTGGTAGCATGCACAGGTTCATTAACTTGGAGTGGATTCCGCTACTCCTCACTGTCTAGCTAACTATACAGCTGGTCACGGTATCATGGAAGAGTCCGAAAATGACAAATAAGGAAAGAACAATAAGAAAAGGAAACATCGGGCTCTAGTGACTAGAAATGGAGTCAGAAAAATCAGGAAAAATAAGAAATATGCAGGTGTCATATCCATCCATGGCCATTGTCTTCCACTACCTCCGATCCCTCCAGAACACCTCCACTCCTTCTTCACTAACCTTGGAGCTCCTGTATTCTGCAATCACCTCCGCTTCCCTCGATGGTCACCACCCCCTCTTTTCAATATATTACCTATGCCTCCCTAAGTGCAGAGCCCCGAAGGCTTCCAGACAGCTCTGACGTCTGCTAGCACACTCCCACCTCCGCTGGGCAATTCACTCGCTTGCCCTGCAAGCCCACCTTCGGGTCTATCCCTCCTTTCTGTTTCTGGGTTATCACCTGCCATTCTGCTAACCCCACAACCCAACTTGTCAGTAATATTCAGTCGGCTAATGTTTAACTCTGTTAGCTCCACTCCGCTTGGCCCCACCATTCACGGGCCCACTCTTGCTGTAACTATATATACTTAACTTGTACATAGGTTACACCTCAGTGATAAAATCAACTAGAGTTGATTCCCCTTTAGTTCTCGTTGCCAGTGAGTAAATTAGGGCATGGATGTGTAACTTGGCACAGCGCTCCTGGCTTGAGTCACTGAGGCCAAAGCCCTCCACCACGGAGACAATTCCTTCATCTCGATCTGGTCTCTAACAGTATTTTATCACTCCCTGACTAGTACATGTCTTGTATGGCACCCAAAGCCCCTTGCACTCATTCGCAACTACACACATTAGTCCCCAACTCTTCCTCACTGTCCCCCGAACCCTCGCAGCCTGGTCCTAGTCGTCTGGCAAGAAACCCAGTTGAGTTTCACAGCTTCTCAAATCTAGAAACCCCTCTCCTGTCGACTCCGATCATGCATTGTAACAGGGATTTGCCGGTGTACCATAAATGAGCCAAATCCCGCGATTCTACCATGCTCAACAAGCTCCCCAATCCTAGACACATAGCACATACTCTCACCCACTTCTCATACACACTCCTTATTTTTCCTTATTTTTCCTTATTTTTCTGATTCCATATCCGGTGTCTAGAGCCCGATGTTTCCATTTTCTTATTGTCATGTGATGTTCTTTCCTTATCTGATTGGACTCTTCCGGGACCCGCTGTATAGTTTGGTAGAGAGTATCAGCACCAGACTCAACTGGACCAATATACCCACTCTCAGTGAGATCCTTATCCCCCCCCCTCTTTCCTGTCGCGAGTCTAGTTGGGTAGACCCATTACAGCATCCCGTTAGAAATCGATCACCAGTTGCAGATTCCGACTTCAGAGACACCACAGAACAGCCCATAGACCCAGTTCACTTCTTTGGACTCAGTTCTGAGGTCCCCGATTTTGTTGACCCTCCTCCTGCTGATCCTCCCATCCCCACTGTCCCAACTGCCAATGATGCTGAACCCATCCCCAATGTGGCTATTACACAACTAGCCCAAGCCATCGCCAGTTTGGCTCATCACACCAGACATCCACCTCCTCCACCATCCTCCACTCTCCAGACCAAGGCCCGTGAGCCCGAACAGTTCAATGGAAAAGATCCCCGAGAACTCCGAGTATTTCTGGTCCAATGCAAACTGAATTTCCAGGACCACCCCCTTGCTTTTGCTAGCAACTGTGCCAAGGTCATCATCATGCAGTCCTACCTCAAGGGAATGGCCCTTGATTGGTTTGAGCCGGATCTATTATTCGATCAAAATTCTACACTTTGTCTGCAATGGATGAATGACTATCAAGAGTTCGTCAACAAACTTCAAACGAACTTCAGTCCTCACAATCCTGTGGGCGACACCGAAGTTCAACTAATGACCTTGGATATGAAGGATGGACACCACATCAACAAGTATGTCATTGAGTTCAATCGACATGCCTCTCAACTTCATGGTTATGGAGAAGCCACGCTCCATCATTTTTTCTATAACGGATTGCCGGAACATATCAAGGATGATATTGCCAGAGTAGGTAAACCTTCTACTCTTTCGGAACTTCACACCTTGTCACTGTCATATCCATACAATCCTGACCTCCGCTCCAGGCTCCCGGAACTCCGAACTCCGACTTCCGGAGCCCTACTTCCCTTCCGTCACCTTCTCCTTGCCGACTCCCAAGAGGTTATCCCACCTCCGGCTCAGACACCACCTTCGGTCCGACTCCGGAACATTCCGGGTCCGACCCCAACCTCAACACCTTCCAGACGAGTACGCAAAACCTATGCTCCCGACTCCGGACCTCCGCTCCGGTATCCCGTTCACATCTCGTCTCCGGAACCTCCGGTCTTAGCTCCGACCTCGGACTTTGACCCCACCTCCACTTATACCCATTGTATTGGTTAGCTCATTCCATTTAATTACCTTTGCCAATATTCCAGAGTTTAACCTCCGAGTTCGGACTTTCCGGACTTACTCCGGACCTTGCAACTATTGCATTGTCCATTTCAATTCCGCTATTCTCCCTCATCCCTATTTGGGCTGCTGCTTCCTTCTATTCAGTCAGCTAGCCATTCCCGACTCCCATCCTCCTTCCTTCCTCCTTGGGCCTTGGCCCTTCATTCCTCTTTTGGGAAACACCATTGAGTCAAACACTTGACCCTCGGTGTTGTTCCTCTTTCCATCTCCCTTTGTCTCCTTTTGTCCTACCCTTGTTCCTTTTGATTCCGGACCCCTCCTTATATACAATGTACCTAGTAACTTGTAACCTCAGTCCGAAATCGACTGGAATTCCCCCAAGAGACTTTCCCTCTGCTAGATCCGAAATTAGGGACCCCTAGGACAACCAGCAATGGCACAGCGCTCCGCCTGAGTCACTGAGGCCAAGGTCCTTCCATGCTAAGTCTCCGATTCCATTCCGGAGTCGTCCGAATCCCCGCGTTCTAACAGTATTTCGGACTCCTCGTTGCTGTTGTCCAGCTCCGACTTCTAGCACCTGACGTCCGACTGCGATTCCACCTTCCGCAGTCGACCGCACCCTCTGCTCTGGCTTCGGGTAAGCCACCAGCACCTCCCAGCCACTTTGGGCGCCCCTTCCGAAGTCCTGGAAGTGGGTTGACTAGGCACCACTACTCCTTTTGTTATGGAAATGGGAATTTCCCATTTTAGACTCTTATGGGTTCTGTGTCACATGATTTGTATAGTAATTAAAAAAACAAATCAACAATTAACCAAAAACCCGCTGTGCTAACATCTGTTACAACTAATGTTAAACTGCCTGTGATAACATCTGTATAACCATATGAACCCCATTTCCCAACCTTTCCCTCTTCCTGCGCTAAGGACGGACGAAAATGGGCGCCTCCGGCCCCATTTTTGTAACACCTTTCCTTCTAGGTGGCGCTTGCAGCGTCCTCCTTCCCCCTTTAGGTCCCTGGAAGCACCCTCCATCCACCCATCCTAGGTTCCCCTGCAGTCCATCACTTCCATCGGCGATTAGATCCATGTCTACATCTGCCCACTGATGATTGCACCTACCCGGAACCTCCGACCTCACCTTCCGCTTCCACACCACTTCACCCTGAGGCATCTGAGATGCACTCGGACCCCTCTTAGGTCATCACACATCGACCTACCCCACTCTCCTTACCCTCGGTTCCTGGAGTTACCCTCCGGACCACACCCCATGATGGATGCAACATACCCAACTCCCTTGCTACCATCTCCTGCGATGTCTCGCACCTCCGACTTCAACTCCGCCTACCTCAGATACACCCCTATCCCTGGTTATCGAGGCCCATCCTTCGGTAACACCTCCGATTGGATCTGCAGTTAAGTCCGGCCCCTTCGGCTGTTGATTTACTTCAAGTCCTTGTTCTCCCGCACCTTCGGCTTGAGCAACCAAGGTCTGCGACTCCGGAAATCAAACCGGAAGTCTCTTCGGAGACACACAAATAGTCTGCTCCCTCTTTCTCTTGTTTCCTCTCTTTGGTTTCCTTTTTTGTTTTGCTTAATGGTCTATATTTCTCGTCTCTAAGTATAAAACCAAACAAAACATCTTGTTCCTCCATCATCACTTCCCTCCTTGTCACATATCATCAATTCCTGCCTTCTGTACCTATAACTCCGACTCTCCGACTCATATTTAGATCTGTTTCCTCTGCTTTGTTATTTCCGTTTTGGTTCTAACTATCTGTTCCTCCTTTTAATATGTCTTCTGTTTATTCTAGAATTCTCGGTCCCTCCGGACCTCATCTCTTCTGTTTCGGACCCTTCGGTCCTTGACACCCATCACCTTCCGATGCACCGGCTCCTTGCTGGTCATCACTCAACTGTCGATTAGGCACTGCTGGCACACCAGTACCCAGGCCATCGACTTACCCCATCCGCTTCGCTTCGGTCTGAATCAACCTGGACGAACCTTCGTCAATCGTAGATGGTCCTTGTCCCTTAAGTTCTGGGACACCTACTGACTCGCCCAATTTCGATCCGTTGATTGAGGGGTTTAAGAGCAGTTACCTAGTCTGTGCTTCGGAACAAGTCTGCCTTTCCGTGATCACCCCCCAGTCTCCACTTGGACTCCTTGTCCTATGGTAGACGCTTCCACCCGATTCCCCGTTGCACTCCCCACTGCCTGGCATTCCATTAGTAATGCTGAAGCACTCTACTCCGGGATAGCGAGCCATGCTCCGCTTCCATCCCATCTGGCCCCCATCTTCCTTCGGACCTCATCCCGTCGGTTGATACTACGTCCTCCTCTCTTCCGATGACGTTCCTACGCCACCCTGGCTGACTTGGCTTGTGGTTCTGATGTCTCATGGCATAACCTGTCTCTCCTATGCGCTCCGTTGAGCGATAGTCTTGAGC